CAAGTCATCTTGAAAACATTCTTCTTCCAAATGTTGGCTACATATTACGGGTTTTTTCTCTGGCCAGAAGTTCGATGGCAAATCCTCCCTCCTCAAGTTGGCGATCCAACGACCAACCCGTCCGTGGAGGATCAGGAATCAGAAAGGGGAAATAACTCATGGCAGTTGGATGTTGGAATACATCGAGTTAAAGTGGAAAAAAAAATCAGTTATTTCATCTTTCCGATTCCTGATCCTCCACGGACGGGTTGGTCGTTGGATTGCCAACTTGAAGAGGTTTTGGGTTCTGTGTTCTATTCCCGGCCCGCGGTCTTTCTGGATGGAGTCTGCATGTTCTCCCTGAGCATGCGTGGGTTCTCTCTGGGTACTCCGGCTTCCTCCCACAGTCCAAAAAAAAAAATGACTGTTAGGTTAATTGGCTTCTCTAAATTCTCCTTAGGTGTGAGTGTGTGTGTGAATGGTTATGTGTCTCTGTGTTGCCCTGCGAAGAACTGGCGACCCCTCCGGGGTGGACCCCGCCTCTCGCCCGCAGTCAGTTGGAGATAGCGCCCCTCGCCACCCCTGCAAGGATGAAGCGTGACAGGAAATGGATTGATGGATGTTTTATTCACCTCAATGATTTACAGGTTAGCGGTTTGAAAACATTCAATTAGCTCTAAATGAGTGAAAAGCTAATTTGATCACATCCTAAATTCTGGCTGTTATATGGTTTTCAACTATGTTTCCCTTCTTCTTTCTACATAGTAGTTTAGATTAGTTGAGTTTCACTGGTTTTAGTCAAGATTTTTTAACTGAAATATGTTTGACTTGGAGCTGAATGATTTTTGTTTATAAACTGTTATATTTTGAACAGAAGTTGTGGTGAATTTATTCCATGTATGTGCAGAATTAACTGTTTGACCACAATTAGTGCTCAAATCACTCTTTCATTTATTGTTTTAGATAATATATGACAGTCTGAATAACACATCTCATTAAATAAGATAATTACCACCCCTACTGGGTTGGGCAATATACATCTTAAAGTATCAGAACAGTCGTTTCCGGGCGGGATGAATAACCTGTAAGGAAGATCTTTGCTTTTTGTTGGGAAATATATTCATCATGGACCACAGAGTTAAAATAAAAACTGTTGGAGCAGCTGCTGTCCTCTCCACTCCCACACAGCGCCCACCGTGTTCACAGGGATTCAGCTCCATCGTGGAACAGCGTGTTCAGCTGCTTCTCCTCACCCATGATCTGCTGGGTGAGGAGAAACCAAAATTAAGGTGATCCACCCACACGTGTTGTGACCATCAACAGTAAGAAGGAGCCGGAGGTTTGTTTAGAGTCAGAACCAGCAGCAAAAATATCTCTGTTTTGATGAAACATCAACACAACTATAAACTCCTGAGCTTCTGCTAATGATCCACCAGTGATGGACCAGTTGCTAAGATACGATGTTATGGATGCGATTTTGTTTTTGTTGGTTTTAAATTGATATGTTTCTCTGTCGCTTTCCTTTCCTAGGCTGTCAGAGGAGACATCTGGGTTTTTTCCAGGTCTAAAATTATTAAATCTAAAAACATAAAAAAAAAACATTTGTTCTTGAGCGTCAGCAAAAAGATAAAATCACACAAAGCCAATAAGTGTGAAAAACTGCACACCAGCTGGGTTAGTGGGATTTAGGACATTAGCAGTGGACTGCAGCTAAT